TTAGCCACTATGCTACCAGAGCTCCTGTGGTTTTAATTAATACTCCCAAAATGCTGCTGAGCATTTTATGTGCTTATTTGCCATCTGTGTATCTTCTTTGGTGAAATATCTGTTCAAATCTTTTGCCTATTTTTTTAAAACTTGGGCTGTTTTTTAGTTTGTTGAGCTTTGAGAGTTCTTTATATATTCTGAATACATGTTCTTTATCAAATACATAATTTGCAAATATTTTCTTCCAGTCTGTGGCTTGTCTTTTCATTTTCTTAGCATTGTCTTTTGAAGGCAAGTTTTTAGTTTTAATGAAGACCAATTTATCAGTTTGTTATTGTGTGGATCATGCTTTCAGTGTCATATCAAAGAAATCTTTGCCTAACTCCAGATCACAAAGGTCTCTTCCTAAGTTTTCCTCTAGAAGTTTTATAGTTTTAGGTTTTAGCTTTAGGCATGGGATTCTTACTGAATTAGCTGTTGTGTTGTTGTTGTTGTTGTTGTTTGCTGTTGAGTCAGACTCGACTCATAGCGACCCCTCCTTGGGTTTCCGAGGCAGCATCACTACAGAAGTAGATTGCCCCATCTTCCTTCCGAGGAGTGGCTGGTGGTGTTGTGTATGGTACAAGAAATCGAAGACTGTGTACTTTTTTATGCCAAAGCAGAGTTGTGAGGAGTGAAAAAATACAACTAGCTCACTACATCCAGACCCAAAGAAGTGGGGTCATACATGGGATGAGAGTTTGGGGTGGGAGAGCTACCACCCAGATAAGCAAGGGCACATGCCCCTTGACATAGCCCTTGAGCTCTGGGGGTTAGGACTGGTTCTCTGACTTTTCTGTATCCCCACCCTTAGATGATGGAAGTCTGCTTTGCCTCCAGCCCCTAGAGTCTGGACAGTATTGCTCAACTGCTCCCATCACGCAAAAGATTTCAAGACTTTAGTCATAACCTTGAGGGAATGAGTCTCTGGTTAAGGAGGGTCAGGACCACAGTCTTGGGGGACACTAGGGTCAACTGGCATAACATAGTCTACAAAAACAATGTTCTACATCCTACTTTGGTAACAAGTGACTGGGGTCTTAAAAGCTAGTGAGCAGCTATCTAAGGTGCAACGATTGGTCTCTCCCCATCCGGAGCAAAAAAGAGTGAAGAAAATCAAAGATGCAGAAAACAATTAATCTAAGGGGAAGAAATGGAGTACATGAACGCTAGCCTCCGTGACACTGAGACCAGAAGAACTAGATGGTGTCCAGCTACCACTGCTAACCACTCTGAAAAGGATCACAAAAAGGGGTACCAGATAGATTGGGGGGAAATGTGGAACAAACTCCAAATCATAAAAAAGACCAGGCCTATTGGTCTGATGAAGACTGGTGGAACTCCCAAAACTATAGCCCTTAGATATCCTTCAAGCTAGGAACTGAACTTAATCCTCAGCCAAAAGATAGACATGCATATAAGGTGAACAGTAATATCAGGAGGTTACCTACTCATTAGAACCAAGAGTATGAGATCAAAAGGACAGCATTTGCCTGTGCAGGCACCACTGTCTGGCTCTCACACTGTTGATGACTAGAGCATCTCCTGATGTCAGAAAAGGGACTGGGAGAGTAAAGGGATGTCAAGGACTACAGGTGGGATGTCTAAACAAACCTTGAAAATGGGTTTGTTCTGTTCAGGAGGGCCTAGAGGGAGAAAATTCTGGTGAGGGGACTGGCAGGAGAAAGGCCTACATGTGAGGCTGTCCTAGCACTGTCAGAGGTTAGGGTGAGAACAGGGAGCCTGCAAGACCAGGGCTTCACACTCCCATGGTTCTGCAGGTCAGCTGCTATGGCCTTCCTCTTGCTGGGGAAAGAAGTGTCTATGCCGGCTGCTCCCCAGCACATGGGCAGGACCCAGGACAGGCAGACTGGTGACTGTGGCATCACCACACACCAGCCTCTGGGATGTTTCAAGTCCCCCATCACAATGGAAAAAGTTAGTGACTTGGTCCTTCACTAGACCTGTACCAGCAAGCTGAATGCCCTCCCAGGAGCTATATACCTAGAGTCAAAACTCCAGGCCTGTCAATTGCCCTTAAAAAATAATAATAATAAAACCTCACTGCCATCCCCCACCACCCCTTGGGTTTCCAGGTGGTATCACTACAGAAGTAGATTGCCCAACTTTCCTTCCAAGGGGTAGCTGGTGGGTTTGAACCACCAGCCTTCTGGTTAGCAGTCAAATGCCTTAGGCACTACATAGGCCACCAGAGCTCCCTCAATCGCCCTTGCTACTGTGAATTCTTGTTGCTGTTACGTGCCATCGAGTCGGACCTGTCTCATAGACACCCCTTCTTGGGTTTCCGAGGCAGTATCACTATGGAAGTAGATTGCCCCATCTTCCTTCCAAGGAGTGGCTGGTGGGTTTGAATTGCCAGCCTTCTGGTTAGCAGTCAAGTGTCTTAGGCACTATGCTACCAGAGCTTCCTGTGAATTCTCAGCAGGTCAATTCACACCCTACCCATCTCCTGCTCCAGGCAGGGCACAGGCCCTGTGGGGTGGGGGGTCGGGGGTGCAGGAGGTTGGCTGATCATAAATGTGTACTCCAGTATATTCAATGGGCCCATGTTGATGTGGGGCTTCCCACATGCTCTGTGAGCCCTCACTGCACTTACGGTTCTGCATAAGGCCCCAAGGTCATACCTTGGGCAAGTAGACTGAGGCCCACAGAAGGAGGGATCAGCTGGAACCTCTGCTGGAGGCAGGGGTGGCCCACAACACCAGACCCTCTAATGAGTGAATGCTGGAAATGAGAAGTTTTTGTGGACTCTCACAATTTGTAAATGTCGGCAGTTTCTTAAAACTTTGTTACTGGAGTATAATAAACACCGAAGAAAAAACCCCATCAGCTGAAATTCCTTTCAAATAATTCAGCCACCACTCCTCGGAAGGAAGATGGGGCAATCTACTTCCCTAGTGATATTGCCTCCGAAACCCAAGGAGAGGTCGCTATGAGTAGAGTCCGACTCTACGGCACATAACAACAACAACAAATCTCCCTGCAAGCCTCGGGAGGGCATTTCAACATGTCTTCCCGAGGGGCCTAGGGTTCGAAAGCCACCTTGGAGAGAAGCTCCGACTGCTGGTTCCTGGCGCCCCACCACCACTCCATCTTCCTTCCTGCCGCCCTCTTGGTTCCTCCAGCCCCTGCCACTCCAAACACCCAAATCCACTGCCATGTAGTCGATTCCCACGCAGCGGTCTTGCGTATAACTGCCCCACGGCATCTCCAAGGCCATAAATCTTTACCAAAGAGCAGACTGCCCGTAGGTTACTAACCGCGGAACTTTTGGTTAGCAGCCAAATGATTCAACCACTACACCACCACAGCTCATTCTCCTTTATCAGCCCTCTCGAATTCACAACTGCACAACTCCAGAGAGGTAGGTCCAGGGCTTTCAACCATCACACCATGGGATGGGGTGTGTAGTGCCCCTCCAGACGCCTGCCCCTGCGCCCCCGGCCCAGCACACCAGCTGCCCTGGGGCTCTGGGGGCGGTGCCAGGGATCGGTGCGGGCGGCGATGACAAGAAGCGAGCGTGTGGGCGGGCCCGGGAGG